GTGATTAGCAACCTATTGGAAGATAATTATCTATTATATTTGAAGTATACTGTAAAATCCAAGAGTCATTTAGAAATAAACAGTAATAATTTCTAAGTTGTATCTATAGTGTTTCCCAATTATTTTTGTAATTATTATGACCTCCTTTCCTGGACACAGCTCTACTGTTTCCTGATAATGCATTATTTACCTTTGCCTTATCTCTGGAGCTGGCAAAGTTACACAGTGAAGCAGGTTCCCTTAAGTTGGCAATAAGTAGCAGTGATGGCAGGCCCACTTTTGTAAAGACAAAAACTAACATATTCCGGGAAGTCTTTCCCCTCACAAAAACTTGATCATTTCCGAACACTGCTTGGCTATCTGTAGAAGTACCTTAGGAATTTTGCTTAATCAACTGTGCTGGGCTGTTTTCTCAGCTGGTGAAATAACGAGTCTTTTCAAAACCAGAGAGGTATCACCACAGAGTGAATTGCTGCAACAAATACAGTGAAGTAAGGCCAAGTAAAAAAACCACTCAGATATCACTGAGGTTGTGCCAAAACCTTAGAGGTGTTATACTGCAGGAGAATCACACTTGCTAGAGCAACTAAAGAAATGAAGCAGACAGTCTATCTAAGCCCACTACCGCTGCTGTGCTTCTGGGAGTCAGCTATGCCAGTAGGAAAACTGAGGCAAAGATACTTTGATGTCAGTGCTGACAATGAAAGAACAAAGAATTATGATGAAAATCAGATAAACTCTATTAAAAAATTAAATTAAATTAAATTTTATGCAAACAGTTTGAAAGTCATAACAGGAATAGTCTGATAGGTTATCAAGGAATCATTCATAGAAAAAGTTATTTAACTGGGTCTAAGCAGAGTTATAAAGTTCATGTAAGGGGCTCTGAGGTCAAAAGAACTGGCCTACATTTTTTTTTCTTGAAATGAAATCCATGTACAGGAATATATACAACACTTCACAAAGCTACGACATTTTGAAACTAAGAGAATGTCTACATGTCTAAAGCATAGAGTATGAATCTTGAAAATATTTAATATATTAAAATTAGATCTGTTTTTCTAACTGTATAAGACCTGTTTTAAAAGTCCAAGACATTCATGTATGTGGTTAGACTTGTGTCTACTTACATTAATCAAAATTCTCAAATTTTCTCTCAGTGCAGTATTTTGGTCACATCATTGTAAGTATTAACATCAATATAAATATCATGAAGACATAATTAAACTTTACATAAAAGAAATGTGAAGGCACTTTCAGAACTAGTAACTTTATAAGGGAATTATAACGTATTTTATTTAAAAATCATGATTACATAAATTTTTAACTATGATGATCAGAAAAAGTTTCATTTAATTAAAAAAATTCTGTATGCCTTTGGAAATCAGAATAATTATTTAGTGTGTTTAGAAGCTGAGTGTTTTTCAGTCAAATATGCATGAGTATTACTCAATAATAATAATAAAACATAGAATAGTTTGGGTTGGAAGGGACCTTAAAGATCATCTAGTTCCAAGCCCCCTGCTATGGCAAGGACATCTCTCACCAGGTTGCTCAGAGCACCATCCAGCCTGGCCTTGAACACTCCCAGGGTTGGGGTATCCATGACTTCTCTGGGCAACCTTGTTGGGTGCCTCACCACCCTCACAGTAAAGATTTATTTCTAACATCTAACCTAAGCCAACTCTCTTTCAGTTTGAAGTCATTCTCCATTGTCCTATCATTACAGCTCCTGATGAAGAGTCCCTCTCCAGCCTCATTGTAGGCCTCTTTCAGATATTGGAAGGCTGCTATGAGGTCTCCACACAAACCTCCTCTTCTCCAGGCTGAACATCCCTGTCCTTCCTTCTCAGCCTGTCTTCATAGGAGAGGTGCTCTAGTCCCCTTACTAACTTTATGGTCTCCTCTGGACTTGTTCCAAGAGTTTCATGTCCTTTTTATGTTGAGCACACCACAACTGTGAGCTGTACTCCAGGTGGAGTCTCACAAGAGCAGACTAGAGGGAGAGAATCACCTCCCTTGACCTTCTGATGCAGTCCAGGATTCTATTGGCTTTCTGGGCTACAAGCACATACTGCTGGCTCATGCTGAGTTTTTCATCAACCATCACTCCCAAGTTCTTCTCCACAGGGCTATTCTCAATCACTTCTACATCCAATCTGTAGGTGTGTCTAGGATTGCCCCAACCCAGCTGTTGCTGGCTTTGTTGAACTTCATGAGGTTTGCATTGGCCCACCTCTCAAGCCTATCAAGGTCTCTGTGGATGGCATTCCTTCACTTCAGCATGTTGATCACACCACAGAGCTTGGTATCATCAGGGAACTTGTTGAGAGTGCAGTCGATATCACTGTCCATGTTGCTGACAAAGATCTTGAACAGTATTGGCCCCACCATCGATCCCTGAGGGACACCACTTGTCACTGGTCTCCATGTGGACAATGAGCTGCTGACTGCATAGACTAAGAGATAATAACAGACTAGTATATTCTCTACCAAAGTAAAAACTGTAACAAACCAAAAAGAAATGTATTCCTTCAGTGGCCACAGCAGCATTCTCACATTAAACTAACAATCAGATCAGATCACAAAATCGTGGTTGTTAGCTGATTCAATAATAGATTTAAAAATGAGAATACTTTATAATGTGTTCAGATTTAGCCTGTAACTTGTACATGAATGAGTCATTTCATATTTTTATTCTCATTCTTGGCTAGGGTGATAGTGATAAAAGATTTTTCTGTAAGATCAAATATGGAAGAATGTAGGATATATGTTTTCTAATTAAATAAATAACTTTTTTTTTTAAACTAGAGTGGGCTTATTTTTGTTTCAAATTCAACATATTTTTGGTCATCTGTTGCTCATAACATTGATTGTCATTCCTCTTGGCATCATACCTGCCGAAGTCAGTTCATATTAGTGTCAGAGATGATGTATAAGGAAGAAAAAAATGTGTCTGCATTTAAGCTACTGAGGCTCAGGAGGAAGGAATACAATATTAAATCAGAAGATACCTGAATTCATCTAGAGAAATCCCATCTTGTCCCTGCTACGTGGCTAGCCTTCTGTTTCTATGTCTCTGAAGAGTTAATGAATGAATCAGGGTAGGAGGGAACAGCAGGTGTTTATTTAGAAGGTAAATATGCCATTATGTAGCTCGTGATCCAGCAACCACTATGTGAGTATACAAAGACTGGGGATGGCTGTGATGGACTGTGACAAACAGCACAGGGACATGCTGATTGATCTGCAAGCCCAGTGGAGAAGTCAGTCAATACCAGAAAAATTCATGAAGTGTTTCTTTCTGCCAGTTTGGCTGACATGCCATTGATGCATGCTGGAGAGCTAATGTCATTAGCCAAGCTGTACAGCAGCATCTGCCACTTCCACAGACTCATTAGTGACACCCATGGGTAAGATGGCATTTGTTTTATGTAGCTGATGACAAACCGATCAGTGGTTTCTCAGCAATCATCAGTAGTTTCTCAGGAATCTTGCAAAGACAAAGAAATGTGTTCTCACACAGCAGTATGGTCTCATTCTTGCACATTAAACATGCATTGACCTGGTTTACTTTCAGATGTGATTGTCAAGCTTCCATTCCTCAATCACTGATTTATGCAGCAGAGTTCACACAATGCAGTTTCTATATGTAATAGTTACAATCTCCTTTTCTCTCTGCTTGTCTGTGTGCACCAACCTATAGAACAATTTCCTGAAATTCAGCTATTTATTTGCTCAATATGAAATGAAATCTGATACATAATAACATAGGAAATGAAACTATACATAATGCTGTAGGAGTGAAAACAGCAGAAAACCAAGACGAAAAAAATCTAGCAGCGATAAGCAACACGCCTACCTTAATTAAACTCCTACGATTAATCCTTGCATTTTCTTCCTTAATAGAATTGATTAATTCAGGAACTAACCCTGATTTCAAGAAACCCACCAGAGAAAACTCTAACTGACTGCCAAAACAGAATCTAGTCCACTGTTTTTCCACCTGTTTTTTCATAGTATATAAACCTGAATTTAATCACACATACTAGAAGAACAAAATGTGAGATTGCATGATTTTCACAGCAGGTAAGAAAACTACATCTCTCTAATAACAAGATGCTTTAGAGGAAGTCCATAAAAATCAATCTCACAGTAGTCTTTCCAGGACAAAAAACCAGGGGTTTTCAGTCCCAGATTCTAATTCCCCTGGAGACTGAACTCCCAACATTTCCATAAAAACTCACAGACTCATCAAGTTAAGACCAAAAACCTGATTTCCATAAAAATTCACAGTCAAGTTAAGAACAAAAACCTAATTGCAGGTATGAAATTCAAGATGACCTCTTTGTCCACGGTTACATTAATCTCAGTCACTTGTCAGTTAAAACTTGCAAGCATGTAGCTTTGACAGCTTAAAAATCTGATATAAAGACATCACTTAAAAACCTGACCAATACTTTCAGAATTGGATATTATAATTTTCCCCCTAAAGGTCAAATCCCTGAATTAAACTTATTTGAACAGAATCTCACAGGATAAAGGTGCAAAAATCTGCATCCCAAATTCTCTAGCTGAGATAAAGGGCAATAAAATTTTTCTTGGCCTGTTAAATGTGTTATGGCAGATAACTTTCAAGGTAAGTTTCATTTGATGTGGAAAAGGTTGAACAAATAGAATGCGTTTAAACAACAATTATGGACTTTCAAGACTCCTACTGAGGTCACAAAACATTCTTCAGTAGATCAAAAGGCTCCGTTCAGTAACTGGTTGAGGAGGAAAGGTGTGACTATAGATGCACCTGTTGGAAAACCACTATCACCACCTCATCACATGCTGGGAGTCAAGATACTACCATTACACTGCTGTGCCTTCAGGAGTGTTTGAAGAGCTTTTAGAAATAAGAAATACCAATATTGCCTCTGCTTTCACAATAGAACAGAACAGTTGTTAAATTACAAAAATGGATCACAGAATAAGCTAGAATTTGTGAAGCTTACCTTCCTACGATGAGATGGCACAATAAAATATGTTTCAATATTATGCTTCTTCAAGAAACTATTCCTTTCATGACCATATCCTGGTTCTACCTCATAGTCCCCATTTAGGCACTCTAAGGTGGTCTTTGTAATGTGAACTTTCCTAGAGAGAAAAATCAGACGTTGTTTAAAGTAAAGATACAACATGAGCAAGTTGCTAGTGAAATATGTTCCTGTGCAGAAGTTCGTAAAGAGGTCAAGTTACATGCGAAACCACATTTGATGTAAAAAAAAAAAAGTTTTGTCTTTTCAGCCAATTAGAGCATAGAAAAATTTCTATTACATGTATTTTCTAAACTCGGGCAAACTGAACAGAAAGATAACCATTGACTGTCCAAACATTTGCAGATTTTCTGATTTGTAGGAAGTCTGCATATCATCTTCTATATTGTGTGGTTTTCTTAAGTATTTACCTCACTAGCTGCTTGGAAAAACATCCTGCTGTTTCAAACTTGTGAATTAGCACTCCAAATTTCTCTTGTGTATAAAGGAGAAACTTCTTTTTCCATTTCACTTTACATCTCTGACTTGTATCATTTACTCACTCTGTTTTGTAGGTGGCTTTCTAATTCACTTTGTTTTGGCAACACAGCCATCTTTGACACTATTTGTGAGTTTTCTTATCCTGAAAAAGTCTTCCCATTTTCTCCCAAAAGACTCCTTACATTTGAAATGTCTTCAGAGAAGATATCCAAAAGGATTTTACTGCTTTCCTCTAATGAACATGTGTTCAGATGTTTTTCACTGGAAAACCTTACAGTAACGAACATGTAAAATACACTGCCAAAATTATCTAAATCAGATATATGCAACAAACAGATATTCACTCATTGTTACCACAAAAATCAAGAGGTTCCATTGTCCTCCTGTTCAGCAAATCATGATCTTGTAAAAATGCAACAGAGAATGGTAGGTCCAAGTCCAAATGTGAGTTACACACAGAAGACCACCCATGCATCTTTGTGAAGGTGCACTGTGTGCATTTAAATTGTGTTCAAGGCTGTACAAGTACTTAAAATTCCAGGACATGCCCCATGGGTTGGCTGCAAGTTTACATGCTACTGTATCATTTACAAACACATCCTTAATATTTGAGTTTTCTTTTTTATAGCACTAGTGTTGGAAATCTTGCCATGTAAAAGGAGTAAGGCACCTCCCTGGCCCCCTATAAGTGCAGAGGTGCAAGGGTAAAAATTTCCTGGAATAGCTACAGGGTTTTACTTTTGTAATAGGAAATGATGCAAGTTTAGCATTCCTACATTCTGTTGCATCTTTCCTACTCTTTATATTTGGCAGCTTCTAATAAGGATTTTGCTTGGAAATGTTTTGCTTCTAATCTAACCTATTACTTACGTAAATATCAAGATTGTTTGGAGACTTCCACAGGATAAATCACATAATACATTGATTGCTCTTGACAAACACAATCCTTCTTATCAATAACAATTACATGCAAATGCCACAAAGTAGGAAATAAATTCTTCACCCATACAGGTTTCTATTTCTTTTTCTACGGTTCTTTTTCGGACTTACCCAGGCAGTCCTCCAGCTTCCATTACATTAGCTAAAGTCACATCATTTGACCAGACATCATATTGCCATTTTCGGAGACCCAGGACCCCACAAAGCACCCTGCCTGTATGCAATCCAACTCTCATGTTGAGATCAACCTCTGTGGCTTCGGCAACAGATCTGGAATGGAGAGCATCAGAATCTTAAAGTTTAGACAATTATACTTCTCTCGATTTTCTTTTTCTCTCCTTCTCCCAAAGGTAGCATATATATGTATATAAATGACCGAAAAGACAGGATCTTTTAAAACCACGAATGATATGTTCAGGTACTGAACTCTTCCTTCACTAGTTTCAAAGCCATAGTTGTAATTCCAACAAAATATCTTTTATATTTTTTAATATATTCTTATATTTCAATTACTGTTGAACCAAAATCTCAGTATTTCTAAATTTCTTGATCGTCTCTGTAAGAAAAGAGGTATGAAGAGAAGATAGCTAAGAAGGTCAATGTACAAGCAATTCTTGCCAATCTACTATGTTCTATGTGGTTCAATTACCCAGTTATGGGAGTACAGGAGAAAGAAAATGATGAAAGCAGTAAATCAGTGCAAGAACAGCAGATGAAGAGTGATTATAAACACTAATATCTTTCCAAAGCTCCTGCAAGAGTGGCAAAGAAAGCACTTTTAACTATGGTCTTGTACCTGTAAATTAAATCTAATGTTCAGAGATTTTCCTTGTCTAGCTGGAAAAGGAGGAATTAATCAACAAAGTCATTATTAAAAGCATTTTTGTTTTTTGCTGCCACAATAAGGAAGCATTCTTCATTTCCATAAATGATTGACATGCTATAACTTGCATCCTGGATGGACTTGTGAACACTGAAAATGTACCTTGAGGATAATAGTCTTATACATTACACGTGGAGATAACACTGTAAATAGATCTTTTCAGCTCTTTCTGTTACAAAAAACACCTAGCATTCCACAGTTCAGTTGTAGTCCTAAAAGAGATAATATCAGTGAATAAAGGAAACTGTCTAATCAGCATAAGACTTGATTTTCAGTAGGTTTTCTTAATTTGAATTTTCCAATGCATTTAATAGAAGACCTTAAACTGAGACTCTACCTATAATTTTCCTTTGATGTTCATTGACCACTTTTTTTTTTAAGTATCATCCACTTATGCTGGATTTGGCAAAGATGTCTTTAGAAAGACTTTTCAACTATTTCAGGAGTTGTACTTATTTAAATACAATTAACAGAAAGGTCATCATATGTCAAGACGTGGGATGTGCAGCACAAGATACCTGGCCTCAATTTAAATAAGAAAGTGCTGCATCTATGAAGTGCTGAAGTATATACCATGTCAGCCATCACTAATGTGAGTAACATGGAGATCTCTTTTGTCCCCATAGGAGACATAACACATTTTTCAGTCATATTTTATGCAACAGCCCAGAAAGGCTTATGCACAGCTTTCTGAAAGATTAAATATTTCCTTGTCCTATTTCTACTCACTGCAAGTCAGCTTTCCTTTATTCAATATCTGTTCCCAGTCAAGCCTCAAATATGACTCCAAGGAGTCTTAAAAGGATTCTAGTGTTACAGGACTTTGTTGTGCACACTATCTGTTTGACACGGCATTGAGGAAATGAATGTATCCCTTGACCTTTGTATCTTCACCCGTGCGTGTGTATTGCGTCATTAACAGATTGATCTTACACCAAGACCATACCCTGCAAGCCAAAGCCCTTCAGGACTACACCTTGCTTGTCTGTTCTCCTGCATAACTAAGTACCTATGTAATTATCTTAATTAATGAACCTGCAAGTGTGTGAATTTCTCTGTTCACAAATGAGCAGGGTTTTTTTTTTGTTGGTTCCCCCCATTTCTCCCCCATTTAAAAAAGTATATGAAACCTTAGACTAAACATAAGCAGAAAGATAGTGAAATTCAGGCACTGGTAAAGTCCACTCCAGACTTTTAACATTGCTTTGTCCCAGCTGGCTTGACTGAGTGGGGGAAATTTAATCTGCTTTTAGAAATTTGAATAGAGTAACAAAAAGTACATGGCAAGAAATTAGAAGAGAAATACAACATAGCTGACCATATTCCTTGTTAAATAAGCTGAACTGTGTAATGCATCAATGAACCATAAAGCAGAATCTGAAAACCCTTCATGTTTTGAATAAAAGATTTCCCAAAGTAGTCACTTAGTAAAAAATCTAAATTGAGAATGCATTTCTACATCTTCCCCAGAAGCTACAATGTGTTTCAGGGATGCTTTCACCATTATCAAATTTGAGTAGGAAAAAAGCTCATGAACATTACATTTTTTGAATTTATCTTGAAGACCTGTGTGACTTTTATGCAGACAAATTTCCATGAATATACCTCACTGAACTATCAAAAATGAGAAATATTATGTAATATATAAAGAATAGATTTCACATATAAATTCAGAGCAGTACCATGATCATATTCCCAAACACCAACATTTCTGAAATAAAATCACAAAAATGTCCAATGAAGCATTTTAAATTATAAATACATTTCTGAAAAAATACCAGCACTTCACAAACAAGCCATGAATAGGAAAAAGAAGTTTCTCAAATAAATTATTCATTATGACTTATTTTCTCATAGATTCATGGACAATATACTCAAAAGTTTTCCAAATGTTAACACAAAAGCAGACCCAGAAACACATGGAAATCAAAAAACTGTTTCTTTTTAAACCAGATGTGTGTAGAGTCTATGTGAGTGACTAATAAGACAACCATCTACCCTGACAGTTCAAGTATCCTACAAAGCCTTTAAATTTTAGTTCTCTCCTTAGCTACAAATATTTCATGTGCTGCTACAAGCCATCAAAGTAATTTAAATCATCTGCAGAACAGCTCCAGACCTATGCTCCTGAGCATTTGAAGGGGGAGAAAATAAGCCCTGCATCCCATTTCTTATAATTATTTAGGGCTTTTCTTTAGGACTAAAAATATCTGCATAGAAATAGATGTTCCTGTTTTAAGGTATAGATATGATTTTTGTTCAATTACATACACTTTCACGGAGTGTTGCTCAGCTGCAGCATGGCAGCAGAGCACTAGGGCAGAGAGTCTGGGCTGTGAAGGGCTGCTAGAGATGCAAGCTGGCTAGGCTTTCACCACCAGTAGACAGCTTCCTGCATTGCTAGAAAGGCAGCTGCTGGTTCTCCCAGAACTCAAGGTCAATTTACTCCTGCCAGTTTAAAATTTTCCAGGTCTGGGACCTCTGGAGGACATGGGGAAAAGCTTCAATGGTGTTGACATCAGGAAAGTTAATGTTTCTGTCTCCTTCCTCATACAAAATATCACCCAGGGAAACTTGATATTTCCATTCAAATTCCTCAAGCTGGCTACTGTAGTTCCTCTCCCTTCCCCAGTGCCCTTGGTCATCTGATGACCAAGCCCATAAGAAGAAGACAGTTCGAGCATCAGCTTCTCTAATGACCACTGCAACCAATCAGCAACACAATGTGCAGGTGCGAAATAAGCCCAACTTCCATATGTGAGGTCTTACATGACAACTGGTGGAGTCATTCATATTAGGTGGAGTCATCTGTATGGGATAAAATCACCTATATGACACAGAGAAAAGCTGATAAACTCCACTGGGAGTTCTCAAGAAGCAAGGGTTCACAGACACTTTCTTTCAGACCTCTTCAAAGGCCACATGCAGCAGAAATGTTCAATCAGAAGGCAGATGAGACTTATTCTAAAGGAATACTCCCTCTTCTCTCCACTGTAATACATGTAGGTTAAACTAAAGCAGTCAGTAGCAGCTGCTGTGTTCTACAGATATGCTCCTATCATGCCATGCAAGTGCTACTGTACACATAGCCAGTGATGCAGCTAGAGGTGCAACCTAGTAAGACATCAAGGGAAGAACTAGCATGAAAAGAAATTGTCACATTCCTACGTGACAATAGGAATGATTACTGGATCCCATTAAAGTTTTGAGAAGTTCATGAATGTTAACCCCAGTATTTTGACCCAGTCCAAAATCTAGTATTTATATCCTGTTCACCCAGATTCTCTCCTTATTTCCAACTGGAAACATCACAGATCAGTTTTTTTCCTGTGGTGTTATTGAATGCATTTGAATTACTCCCTCATTTCATCATGTTTCATCTCCTAAGAGGAATTTCTGCACTGAACTGAAGAATTGTTTAATATAATTTATATTCATTGATGAAGTGCTCTGTAAGGAAAGATAAACTATAATTAAGAATGTGGAAATCTGTCCCCATAACACTAGCTTAAACAAAAATTCTAGACAGTTTTTGGAGGAGAGAGAGAGGGAAGAGCTTGATTAGGTGGGCAAAGCAATCAGCTATCAAATATATCTATTCAGAAGGTAAAACATGGTAGCACATAAGACTGGAACCTTCAAATGTGGCAATCAATTTAAATAAGGTGAAGAGAGTGCTTGGCCTAGCACACTGTCCATAGCCAAGGTTAGGACAACATCTGCCATGTTAGACCAATACCTGACATATTAGAGGCTCTAATGTATAAGTTACTGACAAAAACCTGACAGTTGAAACTCATATAGTGAAAGCAACATTGGTGGTATGAAACATGTAACTCTGCTTACTGCCTTGGTGGTTTAAGTGACTCTAAAATGGAAAAAACACCTGGCCTGTACTGAGGCACTGACACAATGGGCAGAAGAAATTCTTTTGGAATTGAAAGAGAAGGTAGTACTATCTGTTTTATTGGGTTTTTAAGAAAAAAGAAGGTTGTCCCATAATGATTCTGGTCTGACCTTAACTGTGCCCTTGAAAAACACACTTTGAAGACGGCAGATAAATTGTGACAATTTTATGGTTTTTTTAATACTTCGGAAATTATGTTCTCAGATGATACTCACAGCACTATATTGCGGGATACTTTAATAACAGTTATACAGCATATGAAGTGAATGGAATGTATCAATTTAAATAAACACATTATAACATTCAACTCAGTCCAATCACAGAACCATGAACCAGGAACCAGAAGTTTCTATTTTTTGATTTCACAGAAAAAACCTACATCTTGGTGGTACGTATCTTATAATGCTTCTGAAAGTCATATAAGTATCCATATACTACTGAAAGAATACACATATTCTTTTGGGATTTTATAGCATCATAGACTACCATAAATTATAGATTCATAGATTACAAAGTATTTTACCAATTTTACAATGTTTACAAACATGATGAACTTTCATTGAATGAGGGAGAATATGGATTCATTTACGCAACTCTTCACACTGAGAGGTATTTTTATAATATGTTTACCAAATGAAAAGGACAAGTGAGGAGCTTCTGACTGAAGTAGGAAAGCAACATTTTATTTTCTATTGGTTTGATTATTAGCTTTTGTTTATCAGTCCCATGAGATGCAAAGTCACTTTTTTTTTTTAACTTCCCCCTTTCATCCAGAGTTGGATACCAGCTGGTAGTCTTCTTGATATTATAATAGAAACACATGGATTGAGCTAGAAATGAGAAATAGCCTTTGATTGCTTTAAGTACTTCTTCCTTTTTTGTAGGCTTTCAAGCCCTCTACAAAGAAACATCAATGAATCCACAAAAGTTTAAGAAAGAAGATAAAATGTCCCAAATAAAAATTGCATAATTTGAATTCATAAGTTTTATGACTGCTTATTTTATTTTTTCATTATTTATTTATTTTTTTTTTTTAAATTGAGATTACACTATGTTCTGTTCACCTTCACAGAGAAGGCAGATCCTTTCTGTGTACAAAGGATAAGCTCAGGGATTAAGTGAGGGGAAGAAGAACCTTGAGCCAATTCCACATTCCCAGCAGTCCAGATGACAAAAGAGAGCAAGAATACCTGGCTAATTTCAGCAGTGGTCAAACACTTTCCAGTGCAGAACAAGCTAAGGCTCCTGATGGGAAACACCTGTACGAGCTCATTTCTAACATAGTAGCACTGTGCTGAACAGTATTTAATTATACACAGAAATTAATACAGATGTGCACTCCCTCCTATAGCCTCCCTATAAAGCACATACACACAAATGCCCACAAACACAGAGCAATACAGCAGTGAAGAAAATTTCCATCTGTATCCGTTCCCTCCTGTGCAATGAAATAGATATCCAGCTCTCACTAAAAGCTTATTCACAGTTCTCTAACATTCATATTTTTTGCCTTGGCAAAAAAATGATCAATGCAGAGCTCTCAACCATAAAAAAAGTCTTCTGAGCAGCAAAGTGAATTTCACGTTATATTTCTGAAAAGCAGAATAAATGAAAGGTTTAAACACAACATACAAAAAGGAGATATCAGTAAGCTAAGTTTTTGAGACTACAAACACATATACAACAAGCATACGTCAGGACTGGTTTCGAGTTTACATACTGGTGCGCAAAATCAGCTATGTTTATCACTGCAAAACAAGAAATTTTACTCCTTTCTTTGTGGCAATTAGAAATAGGCATATTTTGTTATTTCCCAGTATCTTTCTGCCACCTGATCAGTATGTGTATGTGCCTCTACATACTCATCCTTTTGCATTTACTCCTTACAGTCATTAAATGGAGTGGAAAATCAATGTCTAGAATGACCCTCCCTAAAATCAGTATCCTGTGACCTGAATGCAACAGTGTGAATTGCCAGGTGGGCAGCGCTAGCAGAAACTGCTGTTTTTCTAATAACACACTTCCTGAACGCCACATAGAAGTTGTTGCTGCACTCCTGTCTGGATTCACCATGCATGGTACTTACGTGATGGTGTCAATCATATCCAGTCCCATTTCAACACAGCAATGGGCATGATCTGTTTTGGGCTGGGTCAATCCTGATACACAGTAGTAACAGTCCCCTAGGATTTTTATTCTTCTGCAATGATTTTCCTTTCATAAAAACAGAATGGGAAAAGTTTTACTGTTCATATAAATATTCCAATATTAACAGGGTAATATCTTCTCTAATACTATGCAATCATTGTGGTCAAATGAAGTAATTGGCAGTTCATGAAATCTGGGTTCCCTGTACCCAACAGCTGACATATACATATTGTTTATTTATTTATAAATAGACGCATATATACTGGACATCATCATCCCTGCATTGTTCAACACACATGGGGGTTAACACTGCTTAAAACCATAGTTCCGAACGAATATTATTGCCTTGCCCACATGCTGGGTCAGTATGAATTCAAGATTTGCAATGAGAATTCATTTCTCTATGAACCCGAACCAAAGGACAGAAACCAAACCACTACTGAAATGTTTGCACTCTGGGAGGCTTTTGTTTCAAATTCAGTTCAAATTTAACAGGAAAGATTATGTATTTATCTGTAAAGGTACACACATTTGTACAGTACCTATTCATAAATCACAATTTACAATACACTATGATTAGTATGACAGACTTGCAGATCAGAAGCTACAGTCACTTTGCATTACCATTAAATTTATCTCATGTTTGCATGAAATTTAATTTCTACAGCCAAAGATATCTGGCTAAATCTCTCCCATTTTAAAAAACCAATCATGACATGTGATGATTGCCACATCAGTCTGAGCAGAAAGTTCATTTCTAAACAGAGAGCACATAACAAAATGCCTTTAAGAAAGCAGTACCTTTAACTAATAAATTATGAGGAGACACGAAGAGATGATTTCTTTTGTAACTAGTAACTTCTACCCATTTAGACTTCGGCACAGAAAAGTAAATAAACTTATTAAATAAATCCCACTTAGTGGGACTATGCCAGTAAGCACCATGCAAAATTAACTATAATGAATATGATGGAAGGGGATCAAAAGAAATTTGATGCCTTCCCCAGCAGTGTTCTATACAGGCTTGACTTCAGTAACATAGAAAGGGGAAAAAAAAGAGTGGTGGTGATAACGGAATTTAAAATTTCTGGAAAAAAAATACCTAATCATAGAATTATACTTGTTCAGTTTCTCATACAGGCACATATTCTCATCTGGTTTCCTGCCTACAATAATTAAAGCCTTTCTGAGTTAACCACACTCTCCACATCATTATCCATACTCCAGCTCAGAAGCAATGGTTATGCCTACAGTATTCTTTTCCTCTCTGATTACACACTCTTCCAGCAGCAGGCATTCACATCTCTCTTTGTTGTAATGGTACGGAGTATTGAACAAATACTATATAATGTGAATTACCTCTGTTTACACATGGAAGAAGTCATGCTACCACTGTTTGGGACAATTGGTTTGTCTACTTCTTTTTATAAATTAGGCAACAAATTCAGATCTCAAATCAAAGAAGAGAGCTGTCTTTATGGGTATGCTTAAATAGTAGAAAAGGCTTTTCCAATAGTGACTACTTAACATTTCTTCTGCTGTACAGTAGGATTTTAAATATAACCCTAATTATCATTGCTAATACATATTTCAATGAATACAAGCATATTTTAAAAGGATTATCACCAGGGCCTTAAGAGTATTTCCACAGCCTACAGTTAAAAAGTGCTTCACCAATTTTTCACAGATTTTTTTGAGATCCTTGGCTGAATGGTATTATGTAAGTAAAATAATTATTGATGCACACAAAGTAATACGCAGATCTCAAAATCTATCTTGACACAATTAGAATAGTCCTTCTAATTAAAGTTTTTTGGACAGAAATCACTATGTTTTTTAATAGAAACTAAAAAGTTTTTCACTAGATAGCACTAATTTATACTGTCAAAATAAGCCTTTTTTTGGGGGGGGCAAATCTTAAATCAGTAGAGGGTACTCAGTAGTTAAAGCTGAAGCCTGCTTTCCAAAATAAATTCAATTTTGGCCCACACTTTAAAATCCTCTATAAGGCCCTTTTCATCTTCACATTTGGTATGTATGATTTGTGGCCCGGTAATGTCTATTTGACCCATAGGAAAGCTATTCATAAAAACCATTTCAGTAACCTGGGGTGAACAATACATACGTGTTAATCAATCAGTGATTTCTCCTAATGGTGTCTATCTCCCACATGGCTCATTTCTAACAACTTGGTAAAAGCCTGGTAGGCAGTTTAAGAAAAAAAAAAACAAAACAGAGCTTAATCCATTACCACTTTTCCAAGTCAATTTATTATTTGTGCAGGAGAGAAATAAAAGAAAATAATTGCTACAGTATTTTCTTGAAAGATATTTATCTTGATGGAAGACATATGGTTAAACAACTACTCTGCTTGTTCCTTATCAGATGTTATCCTCACTGTCCTGATTTTTAATAGTCAGTTAATATACAGTAATCTCTAGAAAAATTGTTTGTTTTCTTTTTTTTTTTCTTGACATGTAAGGGAGACTTCCAGGAAGGAGTCACAGTACAGCTTTGTAAAAGCAATCTTTTTAAGGATTGATAAGCAAATTAATAAAACAAACTCCTTCTCTGTCATTTTGCTCCCTCAGCAACTTCCAAAGATGCTCCTGACTCGTCAATATTTTTCACATTTGTGACGGTGTAGAATTTAAGTATTTAGTTACAAATTCTAGTTACAATTGATAGAAGCAATGTCTGTATAGAAACAACTGATAATTTGTTTTTATGCACATGCTAGAAAGTACTAGAGATTGCTAGCATTGTGTTAGCCAGGCAGCTTGCCCACCTGCGGTGCCTTACTAAGACGTTTCCAAGTGGATCTGGAGAAATCCCTCCAGCACTACTTCAGTCATAGGATTTGCCAGTGTGTAGCAGAAGCCCAGCTTGGAAAGTGGAGGATACTTCAAAGTTGCTAAGAGCTTTCTTTATACTTTCAGACAAGCACTTTGTAAAGCAGTTCATTCTATCCATCTGCTAGGTAGAACAAAGGAGGGTGGCTTCTGTTTCAAACAACTGGGGTTTTACTGTTGTTGCAGTTCTTTATTTAATGCATTTTGCAGAAAGAATGAAGTCTGTCAACTTAGACTGAAATATTGAGAATTCAGACCATTACTCTACATTCTTGTACCATAGAAGTCAAATGTTGTTTTGTATACTCAGGATACGGTTATTTTTTAATAAAAAGGGCAAAGGTTTTACAGTTTGTAAAAAGGTTTTATATATATATGTGTATATATATATATATAGGTTGTCTCAAAGAAATAGCAAAGAAGCTGTCAGATTCTCCCAGCAAAACACATAAGCATAAGCATACAGTCAAGATGTTCTCTAGAAGAGAGAGATTGTATGAAATATTAGTTGGCACGGCATTATGTGTTTCAGGGGAACTACACTCGTTTATACAAGCTGTTCCTCTTTTCCTCAGGAACTCAAGCCACAATTCAATAATCCAGGCTAACCACATCACAGTAACAGTCCTTTCTTTGTTATTACTGTGTGAAATTACTATTGGGGGAAAAAATGCAAAGTTCCTCTAAAACTTCCCAAAGATGTAAAAGAATAATGAATTGCATTGCTGCTTATATCTCTCCACAAACCTAGAACTTCATTCCGCTTCCAAAGAAGTCTTGAGAGAGGACAAGATAGGATTCGCCACTGTTACCACTGCAACTTATTTTCTCTGTATATAGCATATGCAGCAAAATTTAACATTTATAGCACTTTATCCCAAAGTGCCATTAATCTCAATGGAAAGTTGGATTAGAAAGCTTTGAGTCACTATAGAAAGTTGTCATATACTACAGATGTGTATAGAGATGTAAAAGACACTTACAGAAAGAATCATATTTTTTGCTACATCCTCTGAATACGAAATTATGTATCTATTCAATTTTGTTATAGTTTTCATTAGATTGGAGCAGAACCATAAAAACCTATATTTTGACCATCATACTGTATAAATATATCAATCCATCCATACATACGTGCATGTTTGCACGTACAACATGTAGACACACAGTTCCACAAATTTACTTACACCCTCTTGCATATATAAACATATGGCATAAGTGCAAATTTTTTTATTCATTCTCTGGAGTACTGATATACTAACCAAGGTGGCTCAGCCTCACAGACATGGGCCAGACACCAGTTTTGAGCCCCCTCTTTCAAAACATTTGAATACAGACCAGTAGAAGATATATGGGTGGTAAAACCTTTTCCTGGCATTACTACTCCTTCCTTTATGCAAAGGTATGGTCACTAATCCAAGTGCCTTTGGAAGGACAAAGTACAGTATTCCACTGCTAAAGAAATGGTGAAGGACAAATCACCTCCTTCAGGGTCATAGAAGAAAAGGCAATGAATTGGGTGGTGTTAGCTGGAAGGCTGTACAGCGTAACTGAGCAATACCATACCAAGTTATTAAGCTCACTGCATGATGGCAAGGAGAGATTCTTTTTAAGAGAACACTTTAAATTTTTGAGATTTACACTTTTTTACTTAATTTCCTTATAAAATTAAACAAAACATTAAGAAAACCTTTCTATTTTTTCCCTTCAGCTCTGTAACTGTTCTGTGCATCAAAGAGCTTTAGTAAAAAAAACAAAACTAAAATAATTCCATGGAAAGGACAACCAAGTGAAAGTCTTTTAAACTGTAGCAGTATTCTCAAAAGATACAGTTAAGTGCAGAAAAAGATGAAAACATGGGTTTAGATTGACATGCAAAATGCTCATTAAAGCTCTACTTTCAGGGTCCCTTTCAAAGGACCCTCTTTCTATGACAATGAAAAGTGAGCCTACTTAGGCTAACTTCTAAAAACCAATTCAATGAAAATCATAGAATCACTGAATCTTTAAAGATCTTCTAGTTCCAGCTGTCATGGACAGTGACACCTTCCACTAAACCAGGTTGCTCAGAGCCCCATGCAACCTGGTCTTGAACACTTCAACAGATGAGGCATCCACAGCTTCCCTGGGCAACCTGTGCCAGTGTCTCACCACTCTAATCATAAAGAGTTTCCTCCTTATATACCATCTAAATGTACTCTTTCAGATTAAACT